GGGGGGGAATCAAATTCTCTTTGTTACTACCAAGAGGAGAAAAATGAGTCTGTGGAAGCATTTCTTTGATTTTCTCCCTCTTCCAGAAAGCTGCATCTCCTGAAAGACTCACACTAAATACCCCATTTGCAGCAAGCCTGAGCTTTGAAACTTGCTGACATTCGTAAGGTGAGGATACTGCTGTTGCCACTGGGGTAAACCCTGGGCTCAGTCCAAGCCAACTGGATAAGCACGAATCAGAATACCTTAAGGAAGGTATCTGTTGCATTATCTGACTGCTTGCATTTTTCTCCTGTTCTCAATGACTGTGCAGCATACAGATACTCCAACCCCAGCTGAATTCCTTTCAAATGCAGTATTTAAATATGTCCCATTTGTACATGGCTGACGTCACACAAACTGTTAAGAGAATGCTAAGACATGAAATGGCCTCTTATTTGAGAAGTACTGTGGTGACTAGATGCTTTCTAAAATATATCATTTTGTAAATCCTAACCAGTGGCTGTCTGGTGAGTTAGTGAATGACTGAATTCTCCTTAAAATGGGCAATAACCTAGAAAAAGGAAACATACCTGGTTTGACAGGGTTCAATGGCAGCTGTGGCCTCACAGTATAGGAACTTTTAGAAAAGCAGACAACTCATTATTTCAACTGAGAAGAGGCAGATGAAGACCACTGAAGATCCCTGGACCTGCTACTGTTCTCCAGTCCTAACACAAGAGGCTTTAAGCAATGTACTTAACAAAGCCATCCCAGCTCCCCAGTCACAAAACATACTTGCTTCCCTGCACTGTTTTGGGGAATCCAGTCATGAGAAGCTCTACATAACAACATGCAAGAAAAATGTTTAAGTAATGTCTATGTTTCAACACCCTTCTTGGGCCAGTTATTGAGGAGACATCACAAATATTGCTTAAAAAAAGGTAAAGTGTGATTAACTTCATTTTCAAATCCACATGCTGAAGGGTAAATTTAATCTGAAACGTGGAAAGAATGTGATGAGTAATGCAGTAATATAAGTATGCAAGCAACTACTCAGGCTGAAAAGATTATTGTTTCTTTACCTTGATAGAAGTCATGCACTTGGTTTCAACGGGGAAAAATGGCAGCTCTTCATTCTTCTCCAACGTTTTATAAATTTTCCTAAAATTGATCAAGTCATCAGGGCCGATCAGCAATAGACTAAGGCCTTCATTGGCAGCTCGGGCTGTTCTGCCGCTTCTGTGTACGTACAACTCAGAAGTTCGAGGGACCTGCAAATATTCAGAAAAACCATGAAGCTGGCCATGAAAAGCTAGCAGCAACCTGTCATGCTTTCGCTGAGAGAATATTGTTTTTTATATACACATGGTACATTGCATGTAATACAGCTGAAGGTAAAGTAAAAGATCATGTCTAGAGACACTTCTTGTTCTCTGGTCCAGTATTCTTCCTTCCATAATCTTTTGTGAGTCTCTCCTAACTTCTGACCCTCTGCCATTTCATTTGCAAACGAGGAAAAAATTGTATCCGTCCTCAGAAAAGAGTTATAAGGCTGAGTCATGTGACAACTTTGGATATCAAAGTTAAGCAAAAAGCAAGGAGAATCATATCTGTTGTCATTTCTCATATATAATCACACATTCATGCAGTGCTACCTACCACAGTCAGGCACTGCAGCAATGAGATCCTTAAGTACAAAGCACTACAGGACAGTTACATTAATAATGATTAAATCTCTATACTTGGGACTATACTAGACACAGGACCAAGAATTACAGCTTTATAGTGTTCAGGGTTTGGATCAGCAAAAGCTTATTTAAAAACCAAAACATTAAAAGCAAAAACATTAAAAATATTTAACCTGGTAGTGGATGACATGCTGCACATTGGGAATATCAAGACCACGAGCTGCAACATCTGTTGTCAGGAGGACACAGCTGAGAAAGTGGTAACAATTAATGAACATAAAATTGAAGAGTAAACCATCTGCCAAGGAACATAAAATACAGCGACCCAGAATTCTACGACAGCAATTTAAGGAACAGATTTTTACTATATCATCTGCTGGAAATATGCTATTTGTTTGCCCTTGCAGAAAACAATACCCAATATTACATCAGAGGCATCTTGAAACAGCAATTCTTAAAGAAAAAAATGTAAATGTTACCTTCAGCAGGTCTATTCTGTTCCCAATAAAGAAATTCACTACCTTGCTGGATCCTGCTTTCCTATGCTTTTATTCTCTCCCAATTCACAGGAATGCTAGTGCAAATCACTATTCAACGACCTAATCCAACCACTTGGCAAGAGGGTATGCTCCCCTTCATCACATTTCTCAGTGCTCTGCCCAGGTTGGGTTTAAAAATATCTTTAGCTTGATAGGACCATACCATTAACAACACAGTCCTTTTGGCAGGACAGAAAGGTTATTACAAGTTTCACCAGTCGAGAAAAATCACATTATTAACATTACAGATTTAATTAACAGCTTTCTGGGGCTGAAATATCTTCTACCAAGTTGCACTCAAATAAGTTCTCTCAGTAAATTAAAAGCTAGAAATATAAAGAGGAGGGATTCTGTTCTGACAATTAGTATTTCTCCTTACCCCTAGAAATGAAGAACTACTCAAACAAGTCATTCTTTTATATAAACAGTTTACTACAGAGATGAAAGTTTCCCTAGGGTATGGAACAATTAGTTTTAAAAAAATCTCCCAGCAACTGAAACGAGTTACTTGTAGGTAATGGGAATTTGTTAAGATTTTATGGCATCTGACTGCACACTCTATTGCTACACAGTTCAAAGCAGAAATAAACAGAGAAAATTCTACAGTTTGCAATCTGCGGGAGGCCGTGATAGATGGTCTCATAGATTTCTTCTTGCCTTGAAAATCTGCAGTCTCTGAAAACGCCCCGTCTGGCCTAGGCCAATGCTATCGATACTACATTTTGCCAAGGGATACTGCAGATCTATCACGGCAATTCACGCTCTGTTCTCCCTGCCTGAGTCTATTACCAAGGTACAAATTGCCACACAGTCAGACAGCACGCAGCACTTCACAGCAGGACTAAACTGTGAGGCTTCTGGATTATGGAAGCACTGAGACCACCAACCTCCTCCCAAAGGCCATCCCAAAGCCAGCAGGAGACAATAATTCTTAAAATGGCAGGACAGGCCTGCCTTAGTAAACCTGACTGCCCACTGCTGCTGAAAGGCACAACTGCCCCTTCTTTTGCATTGCTCTAGGACACCTTTACTATCAGGAAGCTAATTCATCTAACTAAACCTGCAAAACCCTAACCCAGCAACAAGTGGTTAGTTTTCTGATGGCTTAGTGAGATGAACCAACTTACAGAAGGATCAAATGAGCTGCAGAGCCAGGGCACAGGGGCAGAGAGGTGTGCAAGATGGTTATAAAAGCATATGGCTGAAAACAGGGCAAGTGAAAGCTCCTTCAGCAGCAATGAGCTGCCAGACCACAGGATAATTCAGGCTCCAAGGGCCCTTGGGAGGTCTCTAGTCCAACCTCCTCCTCAAAGCAGGATTAGCTAGAAGGTTGGACCAGGTTGCTCAGGGCTTTATCCAACTGAGTCTCAAAAACCTCCAAGAACAACCAGCCTGTTCCAATGCCTGACTGTCCTCACAGAGAAAAACTTCCTTCTTATATCCAGCCTCAGTCTCTCATTTCAACTTGCACCTGTTAGCCCTCAAACACCTACCACACACCACTGTGAAGAGCCTGGCTCCATCTTCTTGATAACCTTCTTTTAAGATATTGGAAGGCTGCCATTAGGTCCCCACAAAGTCTTTTTCCCAGGTGATATAAACCCAGTACCCTCAACTTCTCCCCTTGCAGAGCAAGTGCTTCTTGAGCATCTTGGTGGCCTTCCACTGAACTTGCTCCAGTTGACCACCTCAACCATCCTCTGAAACCTCATCCTTAATAGTTAGTAACCTGGGCTCATGAATGGGGCACTTGCATCCCCAGCCAACTCCCCCAACCTGCTCCTACTCTAACAGAGCTGTTTCCTCTCCTCACTACCCTTTACACGATTTCTTTTCTTCTTTACTAGGAAGCAGAAAATCAACTCACCTCTCTCGCTCAGCAAACCTTTCTAGGTTTTTCAGCCTTTGCTTTTGGTGCATGTTGGCATGCAAAGGAAGAGGATCGCAATTTAAGATTGTGAGGAGAGAACTGAGGCGCTTTACACAGTCTATGCTGTTTGCAAAGACCATGGTTCTTCCTGGATACTGGAGAAGAAAGTAATAGAGATAATAGTCCTTCTCATTTGTATTACAGTGGATTCTGGTTTCTGTCAGAGTCTCAACAGTAGCCTCTTTCCTTGTTAAGTCTATCACCTTGGGTTTGCCCTTTATTCCTACTTTTTCCATTAACAATTCTAGTTTGGTGGTCTTGTCCATCTTTTTAGCATTCTTTTTCTGTAAAACTCTTGTGGGAGTCTGATGGACTAAAGTCAAAGTGGCAGAAAACACAAAAGTCTGTCGTTGAGGGTTATACTGTGAATCATTTAAGATTTCCAGCAACTGAGACAGCTCTAAGAAGTGACCTTTCTCAACCATTCGATCTGCTTCATCAATCACAAGGCACCTGTCAAATAGAAAACAGACAGTAAAAATACACTTGTGCAGATAAATACAAATCTGATACACTTCAAAAGAACTTTTCCTGCTCAACACATAAGGGAAGTTCTGCATGTAAAACCCAAAGGAACACCAGGTATGCTGGGGTAGCTACAGCAGCCTTCCACATTTCTTTTTGAAAAATCAAGTTTCTAAAGGAAAAATGAGGGTTTTGCTACTTGCTTTACTTGACATTTCCTTCCATCAATATAACTACTGTGCATTTCCATAAAACACTCTGGCAAAAAAAATAAGTGATCTTACATAGTCTAAATTATGTAATCAGTTAGTAAACATAACCAGTATGCAGTGACACCCAGGTCAGTATCCAGCAGTTAGTCTAAAAGGCACCTTTACCTGAGCTGCCGAAGATTTGAAAGATGTGGGTGTCTCTCTTTAACTAACTCCCACAGACGGCCTGGGGTTGCAATTACAATTTCTGGCTTTCGATTCAGTACACGTTCTTGCTTCTGTGCAGCCATGCCTCCAACTAGAATTGCAGTCTTAATGCCTAGAACATATAAATAATAGTTTTTATCTCACTAATTTGTCAGTGAATGTCTTTACATGCATCCACTCAAAGAAGTATTATAAAAAGTCTATACTGCAACTTTCAGCAAGTATTTTGGCCAGGAAACTTCAGGGGTTTTATGTAACACTGAACATGCAGCAATGCCCTCAATTTTGCAGAAAAATCCTCGTTATAGTTAGACGCCAAAAATAAAGTAGTCTTTCTTTTAGTGCACCTGTCTTCCAATAGCAGGAAGAATCATGTAAGTCCCCCATACCTGTTAGCTTTGTTTACCTGTACTTCAGAATCTCATGTTTTGTCAATTGTATCTGTATGAACAAGCATGTTCCTGTTATGAGTAACCAGAAGGCTCCTCCAAAAATAAGACTGAGAAATGCTTGTCTTGCTAATAACTGCTCATTTGCTATGGAATAATCCTAACAAGAATGCTCCCTCCCAATGAATGGTTCTCTGGACTGCACAGTAGCGCAGAGACCCTATGTTAGCTTTAAGCAATTTGCTCAGGTACTAAAAGGAATTTAGCTTTGGAAGCACAGACTCCACACATGGCTTATTTCACCCCACTTCTTCAAAGAATACACTGGCCCGTGACAAACTCAATGCTACTGTGCAAGATTCCTCCAGTATTCAAGCTACCACAGATCTCTCTTCCCTACTTGTGGAACTCCATGCTTCCAGGTGGGGATTTTTTTCAAAATGAATTTGAGACAATAAAGAAAGCCCACATCAAAACATGTTTTCTTTCCTGCTGCAGCAACCATACATCACTTGGGCAGCAGATTTTTACACCCAAATAGCACTGCTCCTATCGGCACCGTACTGATATAAATTGATTATTTCAGGCTAGGAGTTAAAATTAGCCTTGTAATCAGCTGTAGACTGATGAGCACAGCAGGACATATAGACACAAAAGGAAGATGTGCTTAAAAGCAGTTTACTGCGCTACGTATCGTCTTCAATAAATAAACAAATACTACTATTGGAGAAGTGGGGAGTTGTTTCCCAATTGTCCCCATCTTGAACAGTTTCACATCATCAATCATTCACTCAACAGATGTGCTGACCTCTCGTTTGGAAGAGGAAGGAACAAGATGGAATTGCTTTCATCACGCATGTTACCCAGCAATATGCTGCGGCCTAACTACTGTAAGAGGTAAGTCAGAGAATCCAGCAATGCCTTCTACCCTTAAAATTTATGGCCATAATATTTTTTTTGATAGATAGAGCAAAATTATATATAGAGAGATATATATGTTATCTATATTGATGGATATATCTGTCAAAAAAGGAAACTATGAAATACATATAACTATATATATATATAATGAGATGATTCTTTATGTATTACCTATATCATCCAAAACCAGGACAAAGTTAGCTGTGGCTGGGTATCTAGCACTGATTCTGTGTTGCTAAAGCACGAGTCAATAGCTATTTGAAGGAAGAAACATTTTAAAGCAAAATATCCCACATTAACTGTTTAGTTCCACTGGATCTCAATGAAGAATCTTAATGCATTTCTCAAATATTAGTGACTACAAACCCCAACCCTTCAAAAGTCACCCCAATTTTATGATGCAGAAGAAACTGTGGCACACATTCTGGCTCAACACCGATGTCAAGATCCAAACCCAGCATAATCTGGGACATGGCCCGAGGGGTCTACCTACCCGTAAACTTTGCAACTGCATCAATGTGGTGTTTTACTTGCACAGCTAATTCTCTTGTGGGAGTAAGGACCAGTCCTAGAAGAGGTTTCTTTTTATGGGAGCCAATAGTATGTGTCTCGTCACTGGAATCAAATTCTTCCAGCACCTTCACACAGCCTGTTGTGAAAGATGCATCATCTTCATCTCCACTATCTTCAGCCTGCTGATGGGTTAGTTTTTCTGCTTCATCCTCATTTTCCCATCTTGTTTCATCATGATGCTGATGGGACTCTTTAGAAACACTGTCATTTCTGGTTGTTGAGCTATTTGATTTTTGCCACTGCAGCACAGAGTGAATCATTGGAATTGCAAATGCCAGCGTTTTGCCGCTTCCTAAAAAAAACAAACAAGAAGAATACAGACCGAGAAGTCATTTATTTTAAAAGATGAGACAAGCAACAGCCAATCACACACCGTTCTTAAAACATACAGTTGTAACAGACACAAACTCTTGATCTTTAGAAGACCAGAAACTTGCAGCAATAGCATCTGTTCTCCTGTTCCCTTTATACATCTCCTTGACATCACCAATAGCATACTTCCTGGGGAACAGGTATTTTTCCAATCTCTAGCAGGTCAGGCAGATTCATTTGCTCTGAAAGCGGTCTTTAAAAGCTGCAGTTGCAGCCAAGATATTTTTAAAGAACTGTATGCCCGTAAGGAGAATACCATGCCCTAATTGACAGTTCTGATCAATGTTCTCCAAATAAGGGAACAGCAAATGAGGCCAAGGACAAACTGGAATGTACTTGAAGGATTCACTTCCAGCTTCAATTTACAGTACTGTGTTTACGACTTTCTATGAAACTGTATTTTGAAGTAGTCCACTGTCTAATTTTCTGATCTATCACCAGCTCACATTTTTATAATCAAAACACATAAATCTGATTTAGAACAGATAATCCACTTTGGAGAGAAGGTGATTGTCAAATACAAAAATGCTCCCCTAACTTTCATTTCAGGGGTTCGCTGTACCAAACTGCAAGTCACATCCCTGCCACATATTCCCTTCCGAACTATCTGTCACTAATGAAGATACCAGGAGAAGCCTGGTAGCACAGCCGCCCCAGTTGAGGTTCTCATAAATATCAGTTCATTGATCACAAAAGCAGCATCCAGAGCACAAAACACTATCACACCATTCCTGTAATAGGCCGCAGCTGGGAAGCAGTCCTCTGGAAATCTCATCTCAATTCCTTGAGCATCATTTCTCCATATCACAAACCCGTAATGGTTTGCCAAATTCAGTAACACAGAATTTTGCCTATTTAGGGGAGAACCTTAATATTAGTTAATGAACAGCTAACCTGACCAACACTGCTGCAAAGTCTCCTCGTATCCACTTCCCCACCTTTCTGCATGTCTGGGAGGTCTCTTTGACTTCTGCACTTGAAGCAGAAAATGTTATAATCTGCATTTGCAGAGCACTTATACAATAAGATTCTGTATTACTAGAACATCTGTTTTTAAGGTGAACACTGCTGATCTTGAATTAAATGTAATGCAGTTTGGCTGGTGCAAATGTCAGTACTGCACCCAGCTAGATTATGTCTGTGATAATCAGGACTATTCTGCAGGCACTAGATTCACTCACAAATTAAAACAAATGATCACCTCACAGGGCACATTATCTTCACAACACACAGATCATATACCATAGCCAGGCCTGCAAAACCAGGAGAAAAGTGTATCTTCGTACCCCCAGATACTACAGCTCAAGCTAATTCATGCTTTTTTAAAGTTTTAGATTTTACAGAGATAAAATTTGGTTCCTTAACTTCACTAGTTCTACATGGTAATTAACAGAACTTGTTAGATCCACTGCAAAAACAACAAGCCTTAACATTCTCTGCATCTGATCTCCACAGGGATCTACTGCCACAGCAAAATCTTGCCATTCTCCCCTATGTTGCTACCAAAAAGGGAAGATGAATAGTTGTGTATTGGGTTTGTGTGGTAAGGTTTTGGTAGCGGGGGGGCTACAGGAGTGGCTTCTGTGAGAAGCTGCTAGAAGCTTCCCCCATGTCTGATAGAGCCAATGCCAGCCAGCTCCAAAACGGACCCACCGCTGGCCAAGGCCAAGCCCATCAGCGACAGTGGTAGCGCCTCAGGGATAACATATTTAAGAAGGGGGAAAAAAACTGTGCAACTGCAGCCAGAGAGAGGAGTGAGAATATGTGAGAGGAACAACCTTGCAGAGGCCAAGGTCAGTGAAGAAGGCGGGGAGGAGGTGCTCCAGGCACCGGAGCAGATTCCCCTGCAGCCCCTGGTGAAGACCATGATGAGGCAGGCTGTCCCCCTGCAGCCCATGGAGGGTAACGACAGAGCAGATACCCACCTGCAGCCCCTGGAGGACTCCATGCCAGAGCAGGTGGATGCCTGAAGGAGGCTGTGAGCCCACACTGCAGCAGGCTCCTGGAAGGACCCGTGGAGAGAGAAGCCCACACTGAAGCAGGTTTGCTGGCAGAACTTGCGACCCCAAAGGGGACCCACAGTGGAGCAGTCTGTTCCTGAAGGACTGCGCCCCATGGAAGAGACCCACACTGGAACAGTTCATGAAGAACTGCAGTCCGTGGGAAGAGCTCATGTTGGAGAAGTTTGTGGAGGACTGTCTCCCATGGGAGGGACCCCACGCTGGAGCAGGGGAAGAGTGTGAGGAGTCCTCCCCTGAGGAGAAAGGAGTGGCAGAGACAACATGTGATGAACTGACCACAGCTCCCATTCCCCATCCCCCTGCATTGCTGAGGGGGAGGAGGTAGAGAAATCAGGAGTAAAGTTGAGCCTGGGAAGAAGGGAGGGGTGGGGGGAAGGTGTTTTAAGATTTGGTTTTATTTCTCATTATCCTACTCTGATTTGATTGGTAATAAATTAAGCTGATTTCCCCAAGTCAAGTCTGTTTTGTCCATGACAGTAATTGGTGGGTGATCTCTCCTGCCCTTATCTCGACCCACAAGCCTTTCATTATATTTTCTCTCCCCTGCCCCACTGAGGAGGGGAGTGATAGAGCGGCTTTGGTGGGCACCTGGCATCCAGCCAGGGTCAACCCACCACAAGTTGTTTCACCTGTCACCTTCCTCCCTCAGGCCCAATGCTACGGGAAGCTGTAGGACGTAGAAAAAAGAACTGGAGAGTTTCAGCCTCTCCCAGCTGCAACACTTCCTAACAGACAATTGTCCACGTCCTCTCCCAAGTTTCTACAGGAACACTGGCAAGCCACTGCGCTCTCTGAGAGAACCTGGCTCTCTTTCATAAAGAAGAAAATAAATGAGCAAAACACAGTTCTACTACCTCAGGATTACGCAAAATCAGACAGCAACAACACAACCTGCCACCAACCGTGCTTTCCACTCTGCAGCTAGAGAGGGATCTGCTTTCCAGCACTGCCAAAATGGCACTTTTTTGCAGCAGAAAAACACCATTTAAATTTTCAGTTCCATTTTCAAAAACACTCCCTGCAGGGTTTTCTAATCTTATTAAAGCTAATAGCACCAGCCTAGCTTCTAATTAAAATAAAAATGCAAATGACTGCATATCTTATTAGTTACTATACCTTTATGCTCGAGAGCAGTAAATGGCTTTACAACACAAGCAGTGAGATAAGGCAACTGGAACAGATGAAATGAATGCAATTGAAGCCTTTAAACCAACACAACTTCCAATTGCACTTCCTATTTTTAGTTTTTATGGGGGAAAAAAAATGTTTCACTGCTAAAGAAGACAAAACTTCAAAGGTATGAGCAGCAAAAAAAGTTAGAGGGAAAGTAATGCTCTGAGACTTCATATCATTGTTTAAGTAAAAAAGAAGCTATAACAGATTTCACAAAGGCTAGCAATGCTCAAAGGCATGAGCTGATCACAAGCTAGACAAGAGACAGTACCTCTCCAGTTAATGCATCAACGTAATACTTCAAGCACAAGCAGTGAGAAGGGCTGGTGACAACGTACAGGACGAGCCCAGAGACAGGGCACAGGGTGGGCCTGTTTTGCTATGATAAAGGCCTAGGCTATACTCACAATGCCCAACACTGTGCCTACTACTTATTTACCACTCCAAGCTAGTACTGAATCATCTTCAGAGGAACGCAGTTCTCTGCTTTGCCTTGGCACAGGGACACCCATGGAAGTTAGGCTGTTGGAACACGACTCTGTTTCAATAATTCTGCCCTTTATAGCATATCCCCTTACTGTTCCCAAAATAGGAAACAATTTGAGAAACAACAGAAAAAGAGACTTTTGTCAAAAGCATAAAAACTCATTGAGACTTCAAAGCTTTGCACGCTGTACTTTGTAAAGATGGAATGTCCTGTGTTTGTAAGTTACAAAGTTTTAACGCTTCACAAAGAATCATTACTAATATATTGGATATGCAGAAAATACAAGCTCTTCTCGATATAAATGCTTCTTCTGCTACATATAAAACCTCATAACAATAAGCTGCATTTAAAGAGGGGAAGCTCCCAGCATATACAACCAGTTTAACGGATTTGTACCTGTTTCTGCAGCACCAAGAACATCCATATTATCCCGGATGGCAGAAGGCAAGGCTAAGGCTTGAATAGGAGTTGGAGCACTAAACCCCAGGTAACTCAAGGCCCGCAACACTGGTTCGGGTACAAACAGGTCTTTCCACGCAGACACATCAGCTTTGTGATCAGCTGATGCAGATAAAACTTCTGTTGTCCAGTTTTTAACTTTTTTAGAAGTAGTTACTGATGGAAGAGCTTCTTGACCTTGAGAAGTCTTATTTTTAGGTACTTTCTTTTTCTTTGGAGCATCTTTTATGCTTGAAGTGCTCTCAGCCACATGTCCATGGTCCTCGCAATCTGCTGCTTCAATTATTTTGTTACACTTTGCCTCTTTATGAGCCAGCACATCAATTTCTGTTGCATTAGGATCACCGCTTTTATCTGTTTTGCTTCTCAAATCTTTTTTTCTCTTTTTCTTTTTGGGAGGGACGACAGGTTCTTCCTCCTCCTCATGGCCTTCTTCTGAAACACTCTCAGTCTTTCTCTTTTTCTCTTTTACTTTCCCCACTTTGGAGGAACTTACTAGTTTGTACTCTGTAAGTTCCTCCAAGCACACTATATCTCGAAACTCCTCATCAGCAAATAGATTAGGGTCGATTTGCACAGTTTTCCATTTTCCTATTACTTCAATACCTTTTTGTTTCAGTTTAAAGGAAGACTTAAATCTCCCTCCTCTTTTGGCCTTCATTTTTACCTAAAAAGAATGGGGGGTAAAAAAACAGGGCATCAGATCAAAAGAACAAGGCTTACATTGCTGATATTCAAACAGGCGGGAACGCAAGGCATAATTCTTTTCCTTTGGCGGAAATAACATGAATGGCCTTAAATGTAACGACAGCAGGCCAGGCCTACAGCCTCGCTCCTCGAACAGCTCCGGGGATAAAACTAAAATCGCCGGAATAAGCCCCCGCAGGCCGCGAAGCGCTCCCGCCCCTGCCTACCCCGGCTGCCACCCGCCCAAGGCCCGGCCCGGCCTCCGCCGCCGCACACGGCAACTCCGGGGAGGCCCGGA